AATTTTTAACTTTTATTTTTATTTTAATTGAAAAATAAATATTTATATTTAATTAATTTAATTTTTTTTTTATTTTAAAAAACATAATTTAGAAATATATTTTTAGTCTTTTTTTCATTTTATTATTATTATGTATTTTAAGCATAATATTCATTACCATATATAAAAACATTTTTTTATTATAAAATCCTTTTATAAATATTATATCATGTATATTAATTTGTCTTGCGTAGATTTTAAATATTATGATAGTGAATAAAAAACATCGAAAAATTTCAGTAATTTTAGCTTAAGATAACATATTTGAAATTCATCTATATTTACATTATTTTCATTATTCAATATAAATCCATTTTATATGTACTTAATGATTTATAATAATTCTAAAACTATATTTTACAGTGTAATTTTATTATTGGTTATGTTTTATATATTTTTTTTTTTTAAATAATTTATAAATATTAACAAAAAATCACTATTACTCCATTTTATTCGCCACTTTTTTTATTTATTGAGTTTTTTAATCAATAAAAAATGAGAGAAAAAACAAAAAAACATAAATCAAATAATATATAAAACAAAATAATTTATATTAACATTTTTTTTATGAAAGTTTTAATAAATATATATATTTTTTTTATTTTACTTTTGGCACATATAATCTTGATATGGCAATATATCTAATTAAAAATCAAATATCTTTGTATTAATTTAACGCCTAAATTTATTAAAATTTTTGAGTCGGCTTTATAAATTAAAATAAATAAAAAGGATAATAATATGGATTTATCAGGAGCTAACTTTTTAACATCATCTTTAGTCAAAGTAATTGGAATAACTATAATTAAATCTTCAGCATTATTTTAAATTGAACAATTTATATAAAATAATAAAAAAAGATATAATTATATATAAAAATTTGTAGTAAAAATAGATTTAACATTGAAAAATATTTATTATCAGAAATATGCCAAAGTTATAAAAAGCATTATTTAATTAGGGAAAATAAAAATTATAAAAGATTTAATTGAAAATTTATTATTGAAATTTAAAATTTATAAAAATTACAAGAAAATTGTTATTTTATGAAAAATTTTAAATCTTTTAATTAATAAATAAAAAATATTATTTACAATTAATTGATATAAACTTACCAAATAACATTCTAAATTAATATGCAGTTTATGGAATTGATAAAAATATTAAAATATTAAAATTATATATAATAAAAGAAATTAAAATATTCTTTAATAAAAATAATTTATTTTAAACTTAATGAAGGTTATAACAACAAATAAAAATATATACGTCATAAAATAAATTAAAATAATCTAATAATATTTTATAAAAATATAAAGTTATAACATAATTAATTATCAATAGTGTTTTCTATTTGTGAAACACTTATCGATAATAATATTTTCATATATTTGCAATCTTTTTAAATAACTTATATAAACTGTAAAATATATTCTTATAAAGAATAAAAAGAAAAAATTTTACGTTTTAAATAAAAAGTAAATAATAGTTTTATATATAATTGATTATTTTTCATATTACGTAAATACTTTATTTTATTTAAAATTTAATTTTATAAGTTTTTTATATATTTTAAAAAGTAATCTAAAGAGTTATAAAAATACAAATAATTAAAATTTTATTAATTTTTCATTAACTTTTTTAAGCTTTTTATTTATTATTACTGATTTTTTTTACAATAAAAACTATTAATATTAAAAGACATATAAAACCCATAACTAAATAACTTATCGCTAAAAATTTATTTTTACCACCGAAAGCGTTGGCAGTTGATATAACAAATAATTTTTTTCCATTAAATCTTTAAACAGGATAATCTTTATAAAAGAAATGTAAAATAAATATTAATAATTTTCTTTTTACTATTTTCAATGTTTAAAGTGTAAAATCCTTTTTCCAATCCTTTCTCTATAATACCCCAAAGCTTTCTAAAATTAGGTAAAGCAGCAGTTCTCATCCAAACCATAAATCTTTCTTTAGTTTTTTTATTTTTTTTACAATTTATTTTTTTTTTGTTCAAAAAAAATACCATCTTCCACATCTAACCATTATATATTTTGATAATCTTTATTTCTTTTAAATTTATTTTCTTTATCACTAGGCCAAGCAATATCTTTATTACTAATATGAACAGGTTAATTATTTAATTTATTCTCTAAAACATATGTGTCTATAAAAATTAAAAAAAATAAAAATAGTAAAAAATATATCAAATAACCATTAAAATACGATGCTGCTATTAATCCACATGGATTGGCTATCATATTATCTTTTAAATTATCATCTATGATTTTAAATTTTCTTAAATCTTTATAATAAAGAACAGGTTCACAATCACTTAAATCTGATGATGAAACATTATCTCCTTATAATTGATTAATATTTTTTGATTTTACATATCTTCTATGGTTTTAATAAAAATTGTCCAACTCATAATATACAAATACAGGACCTTCTATATTTTCATTAATATCAAAGTTAACCTTACAAGAATTATTTGGAAGTTTATTATTTTTAAAATCTTCCTAATTTACTAATTTTACATCTCCACATTCAGAATCATATCTTACTGAATACTCTATTATTTAATTTGATAATATTATTAAAACGATTCCAAAAACTAAAAATATAGTCGCTTTTTTTATATATAGATATTATTTTAAAAAATACTTTTTTATTTATTTATACATAAAATTGCAAATAACATTATTGTAGAATTAATTGTAGGAACAGGCTACCATGCTTTCATTATTTATTATTTAAAAGCATATGAAAATTTTGTTTTATCTTCTTTATTTATATCAGACATTTTAATTGCTTAAATAAAATATATAAAGAAAATAATTAAGTATATATTTATTATAAAATTTTATATATAAATTTGAAATAATATTTTTTTATATATATTTAAAAAAGAAATTTAAATAAAAAATTTATATTGTTTATTTTTAACTCATATATTATGTTTAAGATCATTAAATTTATTAAACATTGTATTATAATTTTCAATTTTTCAACAATTAATTTTTGATAAACTTAATTATAAATTAATAAAAGTTAATAATAATTTAATAATATATTTTTATATAATAAATACACATGTTATATTAAAAAATATCGCTTTGAAAACTCACTAGTATTTTATAAAATAAAAATTATTACTAAAACACATATTTTATAATAATAATTACTAATTAAAAAAAGTAAAAATATAAAAAACTTAAATATGATTAGTATTACAATGATTTAAACTTATGAATAATCATTAGGAAATAAATTCAAATCAATATACTCTGCTCCTGAAACAAATATTTAAATTAAAAAATTTAACAAATGTAATTAAAATAAATTTAATCCGTAAAATTAAAATAATTATATTCAGATAAAAGAACATAATAATTAATTAAAAACTTAAAATTCTATAGAAAACCAAATATTATAAGAAAAAAGTTAATAAATCTAAAATAAAATGAATAATAGATATAAATGTTTAAAACCATCTATTCATAATTAAAATAAAATTTAACAAAATATAGAAGATAATAAATTACATTTTAAAACGTCAACTAAAATATACTTTCACTAAAATTTAAAGTAAAAGTAAAAATAAAATTATTTAAAAATTGCTATACTAAATTGTGCTTTTAAATATATTAATTACTCATTAAAATATAATAATAATATTAATTTTTAAAAATAAGCTATTTTAAGCTAATAGTATGATTATTAAATATTATAAAGAAAAGAAAATTAAAATTAATCTGAAAATCTAATTTTGCAAAGCTTATACTCTGCACCTGAGATTTTATGAAAAAAATATTTTCATTTAATTTATTAATATAAATAATTTTTATATTTCTATATTCTCTAATACTAAAAATTTTAAATTATTAAATTCTATATTTTATTTTATTAATAAATAAATATATTTATGTATATTTTTTATTCTAATATATAAAAAAAAATTTTATAAGTGCGTAATATATTAAAAAATATAATAATTAAATATCATAAACAATTTTTTTTTTAAATAATTATAATATTTTAAAACATAAATTTTTATTAAAAATAATATCTATATTTTTTAAGTTGAAATATAAAATTCAACTTTTTTTTTATATTTATATTTAAATTTTTATATAATTTAGTCTTTTTTCAAACATAACCTTTATCTTAGTCGATACTATTTTATAGTTATTAATTGTAATTATTTTAATAATTTCTAACTTTTAGATCACTGTTTCCTTTACTATTAATACATTTTTATTCACTATTAATTATCTTTTGCTTTTTATAACTTGAAACAGAATTTAATTAATTTTGAAAATAGATTATTTTTTCTTAAGCATCTTTTTCAAATTCTTTTCTAACTTCTAAATTTCTTTATAAATTAAATATTTCTTATTTATCAATTTTGCTATTACTTATACTATCTTTTAACTAAGAGTCAATTTGCTTTTACTTTGTTAATACTTTATTCATCTGTTCTTTCAATTCAAAATATTTCTCTTCTATTTTACTATTCTCTAACCTATTATTTTAATTATATTCATAAAAACTATATATTTACAAGTTATTTTTTTTACACTTATTAATTATATTCATCTTATAATTAAGCATATTTTTCTTTATGTTCTTATATTTGTTTGAATTTAATTTATGAATCATTAGCATATTTATCTTTTTCTATATTTATTTATTCTATTTATTATTTCAAATATTCTTAATTATATTAATTTTCTTTTATTTTTAAATTAAGTTATTTATTTTCTTATTCAACTTAAGAAATAATTTTTTCTTTATTATTTAATTTATTTATTAAATTATATAATTCATCTTACAATTTACTAAAGTTTTTTTCTTATTAACTTATTTAATTATCCTTTATATTTTTTTAATAAATAAATTTATTTTATTAATTTTACTTTATCCATTAGTTATAAGTCTTTTTCGTGTAAACCATTTTTAATAGAGTTAATATTGCATTCTAAATTCTAATTCTAGTTTTTTAATTTATTATAAGAATTATTTAATTCTAAGTATTCTTCCTCTAATTTTTAATTTTTTTACTAGGCTTATTAATTCTATTTTTCTTAAACTCTTTATTAATTATTTATTTAAGCTATTTAAGCAGAATGTTATTACTTAATATTTTCAATTTAATCGATATATTTTTTTTCTTATTAAATCAATTACTAATTTAATTATTTTAATTATTCACTATCTTCATTAATTTTTTGTTTCAAAAATTAATTTTAACTATTAAAATCTTAAATTTGATTTTCTAATAAATCATTTTGGATTTTTTTTTACTATAAATCTAACTAATTTTAATTTAAGTTTTTATTTAATATATCCAATTATTAATTTAAAAAAAATACTTATTATATCTATTCTTAAATTTATTCATTTTTATTATTAAAATTATTTTCTAACTCTTAAATCTACTATTTTTAACTATTCGATTATTATTATTAAGTTTTTAATTCTCTTTGTCTTTATTAAATTTCTTTATTTAAATTTTTTATTTATTCATCTTGTTTTTATATTTATTATATTTAAGCTTAATTTTAAAGTTCAAACATTTAATTTTATTATATAAGTTATTAATTTTCTTTATTTTATTATTATATATCTTTTTTTAATTATTCCTAATTATTTTTTTATATTTGTGATTCTTTTTAGGAATTTTCCAATTATTTTTGATAATTATTATATTCAATATTTAACTAATTTAATTATTAAGTAATAAATTTGTTTTCTTTTGTTTACATTTATAAGTCTTACTTTAATTTATCTGTTTCTTTAATTTATAATTACATTTCATTAAATTACTATTAAATTTATTTTGAATAAGAAATATTTTCATTTTTCAGTTTGTTTATTTCTTGATTTAATTTCTGTGTTTCTTTTTCACTTTAAATCAAAGATTTTTCCAATTCAGTTTTTTAATTTTCTAATTAAATTTATAATTATAATTTTTATTCTTAAATATTTTTTAATTAATCTTCTATTTTTTACATGTCGAATTAAGAATTATATAATTTTTTTTCATTAGTTTAAATTATATTACTTTATTCCAATTATTTTTATTCAAATTCATATTCTAATTAATTTGTTTATTATTTAAATTAATTAATTTCTTTTCTATAATTTTCTTTAGCTTTTTAATTCTCCTATATTTATTCTTAAACATTATTCTTTAAAGTTTCTATTTACTTATTCTTTTCAAAAGTTAAAGTTTATAATTTTTCTTTTAGTTCATTATTTATTTATTATAATTCATTCAAAGCAAGACTTTATTCCTAATTTAATTTTTCAATTTGTTTTCTTAAATTTTATTTCTTTTATTTTTATTTTAATATTTTATCATTATTTTTATCAACTTATTTTTAATAATTTCCTAATTATTAAACTTATAATTATAATGTTTTTTCCAAAATTACATTTCTTTCATTTAATTTTTCTAATTATTTTGTTTACTATTCTAATTTTTAATTATTATTTTCATTTAATTATAATTATTCTTGATTTTAAATTTTTAATTATTTATATAAATTATAGTATTCATTAATTTATTATTCTTAATTTTTAATTGTTTAATTATAAACTTTAATTTCTTGATTTTAATCTTAAATAGTTTAATTATTTTTTATAATGAATTATTTATTTATTAATTTTCATCTTCCAAATTATTAATGATATTCTAAAATTATTAAATACATTTTTTATTTTTTTAATTTTCATTTTAAAGAATTTCAAAATTTTCATTTAATAATTGATTTTATTGATTTAAATTTTATATATTTTAATTCACTTAATAATTTTACTCTTATAGGTTTACATTTTCTTATTAAATTTGTTTTATTTATTTAATTAATTCTTCTTTTTAATTTTTAATTTATAAATTATTTTCTTATAATTTATTGATTTCTCTTATTAATTCTTTAATTTATTTATCTTATTTTATATTTTATTATTCATGTTTATTTTATAATTATTATATTTGTTCTTAATATTATAATGAAATTTGTTTTTATTTTTAAGTAATTTCAGTATATTCTTATTATTAATGTTATTAATTTAATTCATTTTTAACATTTATCTTTTTCAATTATTATTTTAAATCTGCTATTTATGCCAAGTATTATTTCTTTTCATTATTAAAATCTTAGCCTGATATATGTTTCATTTATTAAATTTAATTATGAAGTTCTTAAATTAATTCATCCTTTTCTTTATGAATTTTTTATTTTGTAAATCATTATTATTATTACAATCTCCTTCATTAGTTTTATTTTAATTTTTTTCTATTATTTCTTCATAAGCTTTTATTATTTTTTTTTATTCCTGAACCAAATTTTCAGTTTCCTTTATTTTTTTTTGCCAATTCTTAATTTCTTCTTATTAGTCCTCTAAAATTGATTTTATTTTTAAATCATTATTCGTAATTATTTTAAAATTTTAAATCTAATTCAATAATTGATTATTTTCATTTTTTAAATTGTTATTTTCTCTTATAACTTAATCAATCTTCTTATTTTTTTCATTCAACTATTATTTCAATTGTATATATTTTCTACTTATCCATTCATATGAATTAGAATTATTTAAGTCATCATCATTATAACTTAAATTATTTTAATTTATGATTTTACTTTAATTATTATTTAAATCTTCATTTATTGATTAATTGTTCAATTAGTTTGAATCTCTTGATATTTAAAAAGACATTTATTTTAATTTATTTTTATTAAATTGTGAAACTTTGAAATATTATATAAAAATATACCTTTATATAACTTATAA